GTTACTACCCGGCTTCCCAGTTCAGCTCCAAACACCAGCCACGTTGTGCAGAACACCAAAGGGGCCAGTGCATTTGATTATTCATCAACCAATTACCTTTCGTTTATTTGCAGCCGCTCGTTTTGGATCATCTTTGCTTCGCATCATTGATCAGCAAGATCACCATGTTACTTGTCAGATTCTTGAGGGTACCGTCCCTACCTATGCTGACCTCGTCCAAGAAGTTTATGCATTCGATTTACCTGATATGGCGGGCCCATTTCAGACCTACTGGTCACAATTTTGGGACCGGGACACTCCTATGGATGAACAAATGGATGATTCATGGCATGATCTCTTGCAGTCTCTTCGTAACCGGATCCCACCCACAGCACCACTCACCGTTCGTTGGGACGATCCATACCTTCTGGCCCAGACGATTCAAAAGCTGAAACCTTTTAAGGCAGTCGGCATCGATGGCTGGAGAGCCGAAGAACTTCAAACCCTGCCGCCAGCAGCCATTCAGGATTTCGCTAATATTCTTACATCTATATGGCCTCAGGGCCTATCAGCGCACCAACTAATTGCCCGTGTAATTCTACTGGCCAAGCGAGTGCCACCCACCTCAATCTCCGATGGCCGCCCCATTACAATTCTGGGCTATATTAGTCGTCTCACCTCCAAGCTCATAGCGGATCAACTTCTCAGTCAATGGACATATACATGGCCGAGCGCCATCTCAGGCGGCCTCCCATTCCGCAGTGTCCAAGACATCACGTTTATGCAGCAATATCAGATTGAAGCCGCAAAGACCCGGTCTTTACCATGGAGAGGATTTACTTTGGATCTCATCAAAGCATTTAACCTTTTGCCTCGTAGAGTTCTGTATCATTTATTGATACATCATGGTGCCCCGGCAGCCGCCATCCATTTTTGGTTTACCAACCTCAGCCGCATGACTCGACGCCTTCAGATTCGGCAACAAGTCGGCCCGCCCATTACTATGACGACAGGAGTCCCAGAGGGAGATAGTCTCTCCGTGTGTGCCATGCTAGTGGTCTCGTCAGCATTTTACTGGACCCTCCAGTCCACAACAGTCTTCCCCTATGCTTATGCAGATAATTGGTCATACCTCACGACCTCACAGCGAGATAACATTCAAGCCTTTCATCGAATTCAGCATTTGGTTGAAGCTTTACGTATGAAGATAGATTTCACCAAATCGTGGGCATGGGGGGCTACAAAAGAAGCTCGTACAGAATGGAAAGACTTCCTTGCCGAGGAATTCGATACCCACAACCAGATTACTATACTCAACTCGAGTAAAGACCTCGGTTGTATGACACATTATACACGTCACATCACCCTGGGACATTTAAAGACTAAGATCAACAGTGCCGTGCAAAGATGTCGCCGTCTGAGACGATTTCAGACCACTATTGCTCACAAAGCCCAATTCATACAGACGGCTATATGGCCACACACGCCTTCTTTGGAGCCGAAAATCAAATTATTGGTGACAAGCATTTTCGAACACTTCGCCGTGAGGCCACTATTGCTTTGGTAGGTCCAGAAACTCAGATATCCAGCTGGCTCGCGGTACACCTATTTAGTTCCCAACTGCAAGATCCGCTTCTCTATGTTATTGCCACAGGATTATCCTTTGTGCGTCGACTCTATCATACTAGTCCGGATCTGGCAAAAGATTTCGTGAACTCAGTCATCAGTCATCAAGGGAATCCAATTGGCCCGGCTGGAGCCTTGGCTAGATACCTGCAGCTTGTTGGATGGTCTTTGACTTCCGATGGTACCCTCACCCTTGACGGTTATCTATCTGTATCCCTGCAATACGACTCCCTACGATATATTCGATGTACACTCCGCCAATCTTGGGCATACTTCATTAATCGAGAAATTTGCCATCGTAAAGGGGTCCCCTCAGTGCCTTTTGATTATACCATCTTGTCTCAAGCATTACGATCTATGTCCCCCACCGCAATTCGTCAAATTGCGTATAATCTCACTGGCGGATATCAAGTAGGAGCCGTTAAAGCACAATGGACCTCCACAGTGGACATCCAGTGCCCACATTGCGGCCAACCAGATACGCATGCACACCAACAACTAGAATGCCCAACTTTTGCTGACGTTCGTCAACGCCACCCACAGGCCATTATCTACCTCACCCGCAACCAACAGAAGCTATGGTTTCCACTTCCGCACTCTTTCCCTGACTTTACTATACTCCGCCAACTCCTTGGATTTCGAGGGCAGGATACTGGACATACTCCAATCTACCTCTGTGGGGATACTCTTTACTTCTATACAGACGGATCAGCAGACACACCCACGCATCCAGGGACACGTCGTGCGGCATGGTGACTTATCCAGTTCTGTCCAGACACATTTCGTACATCATATCTCACTATCAAGATTCAACATGTACAGGGACCACAAACTATTGCCAGAGCCGAGCTCGCTGCCATCACTTGGATTGTGCAACATATCCAGAAACAACATTGGCCACATCGACTCACCATTACTACCGATTCGCAATACGCCATTCATACCATCGCACGCATTTCCCAGGCCGCTCGACCACCATCCTGGCATAAATTTGCGAATGCAGACCTTCTTCGAATTCTCGCTGACTGTTGGGATCCCTTGCGCTTTACTCTCCGAAAGGTTCGTTCCCACCAAGATCCCAATGATGTGCCGCCAGGTCCAGCACGAAACGATGTTCTTGGCAATATGTGGGCAGACCATGCAGCAGTCCGAGCCCGTCAAACTGACCACACACGCATTGATGCTCTCTTTCAACAGGCAGAAATTTGGCATCAGGACCAATTACGCCAAACCAAATGTATCCTTGCCTATCTTGCGGACCTTAATTTGTGTCATTCCCAAGACAAGCAAACAAAAACACTTACTGCACGGACAGACATGTCACACGATGCGTCCCTCGATTGGGGTAATATATATCGATCTCGAGCAGTATATACAGTTCGGACCTCAGCTCAAATTTTTCAGCCATCCATTCATCCTGCCTTTATTACTGCTTGTGTCTGGGGCAATCAATATGCTGACCTGGTTCTTCAATTTTGTGCCGCCCTACGCTGGCCTGATCCCACTCTAAGTTACACAGATCCAGTTATCACCGCCGGGATCACATGGTTAGAACTCACTATCGCTTTCGTTATTAATACAGGTCTTCAATTCCCGATTTGGATGCGCCTCGATCATGAAGACCGCACCCAACCAGTCCATTGGCAGGACCCCAGAGTCTTAGCCCTGCCTACCATTAAGAGATCACTCCGAGAGCAAGCCGAAGCTTTTCGAACTATTGTGCTTTATCTCCAGGCTCAATCAGTCTTACACAAATCGGTTGGGGCAAATCATTTACAGGGGGTATGCCTCTGCGGCCTGAGTTCCCCAACTCCGATCTCGTTCAACGCACCATTTCACAATATGTTGAAGACCTCCAGTGTAAACCACCATTTCATCCAGATGGCTTGATACCGATGCGACATGCGTCACCAACTTTCGCAGCTCCTCCAGCCATCCCTCTATCGTCGCAAGCTTCGTGAAGCATGGCACAGGGGAGGAGATCTCGATGATGTCACGGTGCCTCCAGCACCTAATTAGATGCCCACATCATTATTCCTTTGCAATTCATAATTGGTTCATCGTAGTGCTTTGTATAGTCACACCCTTTTTCACCACGTCTTACAAGAAGATATGTACCACACTCCTCGGTACCCTCCAATACGGAGAAGGACCGTAGGAAGCGCGCGATTGACAGCGACCGCAAGTCCCGTGAGTAGTAAGGCCAGGAGCCCGTAGTAGCGTCCTTGCTAGTAGTAAGGCCAGGAGCCCCTAGTAGCGTGCTTGCTGCTAGTAGTAAGGCCAGGAGCCCCTAGTAGCGTCCTTGCTCCTAGT